CGCACACATAAATGCCACTCTACCCTTGCCGCACTTCCTTTATTTTAAACAACATCTTGCACGGTTATTTTGCAATATACGGAGAAATTTGCTGAGAGGGTTTAGAATAAATAATCTAGGCGAATGGTGAAGAAAAATTAGTTTAAAATAAACATTCTATCCTTTTTATATTTTAAATTCAGAATGCATGGTAATGAATTATTTTAACTGATTGTCATTCATAAATATCTAACGCCTACTATTTTATTACGCACGCGCACATTTGTAAGGGTCGATCGATCTATAAAAACATAAATTTTTTTATAACTGGCTTTACGTCTCTGGGTTCTAACCCTTCTGAGCCTGAAGTTACAATGTATAATCATCCTTCATAATACACTGCTTCACAATATGTTGATACGTCACACCCTTGGGAACCTTATCTTGAGAATCACATCACCATCAGAGCACTTGTTTCACTGTTTCCACTAATAGTTCACATGCTCAAACACTTAATACACAAAATCGCACCACTTTTACATGTGAAAATCCACTTCAAACCATTATTTAAACAATAATACAGGAGCAGCAAACCGCCGCCGGTCAAGTTCCCGCCAAAACTCTAAAAGCGTTGGGAATTGAATCGCACACAGAGAAACGCACTTACACATAGGTGATGCCTATAAATCACATTCAATTTAGGATATTTTCAAAAAAAAAAAGAAGAAGTCTTATATACTCGCATTTTCAAAAACTGCAACAACGTTATATCATTATTTATATATTTAAAGACTACTCGTTGAAAAGTAACCCTGTATATTTCACACCCAAAAGTTGATCTTGTACTATAATTTGAAGTCTTTATTACAGGGCAAGGTAACGTCGGGCGTATTCGACATTCCCTTTGCTAGTTGAGGTCAAAAAGTATTTTTATTTTTTATTTTATTTTCAAACAAAATCCACAGCTCTTTGTTACATCGTACGTACATCTTATGATCTTAAATTATAGCCAAAAACGGATTTACATTATTTAAATAGTATTTTCAATTTATAACGGACATGTTGAAGACAAAGTAGTTGGGACTAACAATATATATTTTTAAACATCTAGAAAACATTACAAGAAAAATCAAAAAAAAAAAATTCAACATAAATAATGCTCGTATGCTCCTCCC